GGTGACAGAGACTCATTATGTCACTGGTTAAACTAGTTCATTCATAAAACTGCAGGTGTTCATAACACTGTATAAAGTAGAAAAGCAGTGCACATTCGAGGAACTCTATAGCCACATCCTGAGTAGGGTAGTGGAAGAATCTGTTCTAAGGAATTTTAGGATGATCGTTAAGATACATTTCTTCAAAAATGAAAATTGGTGGAATGGAAATGTTTCAAAACACCTCAATAAATCTTAAAATGAGACTGATTACGTACATGATAACTTTCCTTGCATCTGACTCTTCGGTGTTTATGACTTTATCATAAGCCTCTATTAACACAATATTATCTTTGAAGACTAGAAATTCAGTAATAATCCAAAAATAGGCTGATTTGTTTCATCTTTGCCTTAAGTTGGAACATGCAGTTAAAGATAAATACAAGTCCTCTGAATAGAGTCTTTCTTCAACAAAACAGCTATGTCAGCAGAGGCAGCAAACCAGAGCAGACTTTGAGTGCAAAGTTCAAAAATCATTTCCTAAGAGCATAGAGGACTTAAAATGTAGTATGGCTAGGTTAATGTTTACTTTTACTGTATTTCACTTAGCATTGGGTTACCAAGTTTACGTCAAATATCTTTCCCTGGATCTTCTAGACCTTATTTGAAATTTTAATTTATTGAAGGAGTTTCATATATACAGACCTGTGAAACAACTGACATAGCATCTTGTCCTGCCATTATCTACATCACAAAGTTGTTAAAAGGATTAAACAAAATGATATGTGTGCAAGTGTTTCAAACTTACAAAGTTCTAGTAAAATATTTGCTTATATTACTATACATAATTGACTGCTTTCTGTAGAAACTGAAGAGAAATTAGGACATAATTAGATTCTTCATAAATATGTTATGTATTGAGGGATCTTGAGTATAATCTGGTCCAAACCCCTTATTTTATATGAAGAAGTTCAGAGAAAAGTAACTTGACCTAGGCCATACTTAATAAAATTATGACAACAGGTTTGAAAAGCAAGGGCTCCTGATTCAAGATTAATGCATTAGGTTTACCATATTCACCTTTCTGGATATCAACTGAAAATACTCATCTGCAAGGAAGGAGTCAACTGTAATGACATTAACCTCAACTATAAGTGGAGGACAATGTGAAAAATGAAAGTCTGAAGTCGATGGATGCGGGGTGGGGGGCGGTACCTCAGGCTTCATGTCAAGTAAAACAGTAGCCTGAGATGCTTCCCAATAGTATTAAAAGTTCATGTTATTTTGTTTTCAAAATTTTAGCATCTATAACCCAACTTACAGCTACCTCAAAATAAGTAGAATCAACTGTGGGTACTTAAAACATAGGGTCTAGAAGCACTGCTTTGTGGATAACTACTCGTATATAATGAAAATAAGGTACAGACCAGGGAAAGTGACTAATGACTAAAAATCCTGGGACTGGACTATATTTTCATATAGAATACTTTTTATTTGTGTGTCTATATCTTTGTAACTAAATTATTCACAATCATTATTTTTTCAGAAAGTTATTCCCACTTCTGCATATAACATACATGTATAAGAGACTGCGTGTCTTACCAATTTTTCAGTACACTTCTCAAAGTCAGGCACCATACACTGTTATACTTTTTTAAGCCCATATTGTATCTACAATAAATTACACTATAAGCACTTAGTACTGACAAAATGAGTTTTTTGTTATTGGATTTTCTTAAATTCATCACAATTCCAGATTGTGGTGCCTATCTCACATTCCTCTACACTAAATTTGCACAAAAACACTAAAGAGGTCTAACTGATACATACAGGAAGTTTTAAATACAGACATGTCCTCAGTTAAAAACTCAAATTACATGAATTGTTCCACAAGGCTCATAAAATACAACAGTGATCATCACAATTTAGAAACACAAAATGTAATGAACAGGCAAAATATAGTAAATACCATATGAAAAGTTCCATGATCCTAATGAGAAATTTGAACAAGTAATGGGTTTTTCAAAATATTTAAGTTTCATTTTTTAAAAACCACAATGTAATGTGAGTATAGTATAAAAACAGGAGAAATGAGAACGTTTATAGAGCAAGATAGTTACACAGAAAATTTTTACTGTGGAGAAAAGTGGATTACTTGTGGAGAAAAGCCAGATAGGAGATATTATTTCAAAAGAAAGCCCAAGTTTTAAGGTTGTGAAAGATAGCCTGATGCTTTTGCTTGGGCCCAATACAGCCTAAGAGTGCACTTCTGCAGAAATATAACACCAGTGTTTTTAACATAAGTGGTATTACGATATTTTCCAAAATCAATTAACTCAAAAATAGTTGGGGAGCATTTGTACCATTCAATGACTTAACACTAGCTGGGAAAGTTCTCTTTTTGCAATACTCTAGATAGATTGGACTGAGAAAATATCTAGAAGCAACAAACATTTTAACCTTCAAAACTAATGCACATGGACCAATAGGAAGGAGATAAGGAAAGAACTTATATCCACCCCCCAAATGGTAATTTTCACATCAGAGACTTGTAGTCCATTTCTCCCAGTCCACAGCCTCCCTTCACTCCATCCCGTATCTCTCTTATCAGTACCATGCAAGAGTGGCCTGGTGGCATTTTTAACCTCAACGGTGGCGGCCTCTCCAAAAATACCCTAAATATATACAAACTAAATAAAGCAATGCCCTTGCTGTTGCAAAAGGAGCTTCAAGCCAAGAACCCTGGGAATATCATTCCACATAAGTTGCTGCCCCTTCCCCTCTCCTCCACATAGAAATCATGGACAAGTCACTTACACTGTGCTTTGTTAAGAGTATAGTACGGGGGGGGGGGGCTATCACTTTGTGAGGGGTGTAACATATAACTATTACACTGTTTTGTGCACCTGAAACTAATAATAATAAAAAAATAATAATGAGTCAAGAGGATCAAAAGGGACATCATGACTATTATTTCAAGGGTCTAAATTTTTAAAAATTTGCTTCATTCTTTAAAAATGATCTTATGTTTTCGAATAAATATTTTCCCAAAAAAAGTATAGTACAGTGGTAAAAGCATGGGTTTGGAGTCAAGCCATACAACTATTTGTAAATTTTGACAAATGCCTGAACATAAAAAAAAAAAAAAATTAACAAAACACTGGTTTAATGAAGTAACTGCCAAAACATATATAGTTCGCAGAAATTCAAATCAGTTTAACCATCCTGGAAGGCAATTTAACAATAAGTATATAAAAACCTAAAAGTATGTATACATAGAAAAAAAAAAGTATGTATACAATTTGGCCCAGAAATTCAATGATGAATTGAATTTATTCAATACCTTCTAAAAAATAATAGGTTAAGTATGCAAGGATGTATGTATGTACAAGAATGTTTTCCACAGTAATGTATGTAATAGCAAAATACTGCAAAATTCCTAAACGTCTACTGATGGTTAAAATTAGTATCCTACAACCACACCATGAAATAACATGCCAACATTAAAAAGAATGATGAACAGTCACATTTACTTGGACAGAAAAACATTCATGATAAATTGTTATGCAAAAATGCAGATTACAAAACAGTAGAAACAGAACTGTCTCATTTGTATCTTAAAAAATTTAATCACATAGTTAAGAGAATACACCCTGGAATAATATACACCAAAATATTAAACAATTACTACCTCTAAGTGATGGGATTAAAGGGTATTATTAATTTCTTCTTTGTAAATTTCTTTATCTTCTCATTTTATTACAGTAAGCATCATTATTTTTACAAGCTGAAAATAAATGCTTTTTATATTGTGAGTAAAAAAATTAACAATAGTAAATCTACACAAAGCACATAAGTAACTGATAGCTGACTGTATAATTCTACCTATGAATTTGAATAAACCTACATTTCTAATCTCAGTTCTGTAAGTACACACCTCAAGTTATGACTTTTGAAAACTAGCACATCTGAGTTGCAAGTCAGACGTCTTTAGGATTTCAGAGGCAATGAGGGACATTTGTGCCATGCCAATACAACCAACAATGCTCCGATACTGTTGTACATTTTTAGTTTGCTTCACAATTGCAAATAAATTACAATTTTGTGAATGTGTACTACTGTCCTGGGCCTTGCCTTTTAAGTTCCTGCCACCTCCCCCAACCAAAAACACTAAACCACTTTTATAATAAACTGCCTGAAGTTCATAAGGAAAACCACAACAGAATGCCACTTCTTTAACAGCTCTAGAAAAGAGTAATCATCACGAGGGCCCCAGGAAGTGAGGGGGAAACATCAGATAGAGTTTTCAGACAAGTCTGACTTTTCTCTCCTTCCAAGCATCTCCACCACAATTTAACAGGGAAGATCAACCTTAATACACAGTAAAATAAGAGGAGTTTAAAAAATATTTAAATTATATAAGAATTCATAATTTAGTAATTTAATACTAAACTAAATATGAACTTCATTTAAAGATATAACATTTAGATTTTATTCATTCAGATCAGAGTTTTAGATGGGCTATGGTATGCCAAGGCATCTATAAGAAATGTTAAAGACATTCAAAAATTCATAAAATTTGATTACTGATTAGAAAAACGTTTTGAAATAAGAGAAAGACAAATATTGTATAATCTCACTGTAAAATCTAAAAAGAAAACCAAACTCACAGAAACAGAGTAGACTGGTGGTTGCCAGGGGAAAAGGGGGAAAGAGTGAAGGTAGTCAAAGGGTGCAAACTTCCAGTTATAAGTTCTGAGGATATAATATACAGCATAGTAATTATCGTTAACAATACTGTATTATATACTCGGAAGTCGCTAACAAAGTACATCTTAAAAGTTCTCACCACACCCAAAAAAAGTAACTATGTGAAGTGATAGATGTGTTAATTAACCTTAATATAATCATTTCACAATATTCATGTATATCAAATCATCACGTGTGCCTTAAACTTACATAATGTTATATATAATATCAATTATAGCACAATAAAGCTGGAAAAAGAATAAGGTACTTACCACTAAGTCCCAATTATTTTGTTCAAGCAATGTAATAGCTTCATCAATGTTTTCAATGCCAGTACATGCCTGGAAACAAAGTAAATAAGAATTTTAGATATAATTTTGGGAATGCGGAAGCTAATTCATCTTAAAAAGGTAAATAGCATAATGCATAATTTAAGTTTGAATAGGTATATGAATAAAGCCAAGACACTAAATGTCTAGCACTTCTGAGCATTTTATACATATGGTTTGAGAATTGCTCATTACAAGTAAATTTACATTACGCTGAAATGAAAAGCAATAAAAGAAAGTATGTTTCTATGTTGAGCTTTGGAGCCCAGGATGCTCTCTATATCTCAAACTGCCCAGAACAACATTAAAAAGTTTCTGATGGACAACCATATGTAAAAAAATAATGAATATACCTACCTTGCACCTTATACAAAATAATAATCCATACCTCATACCTTATACAAAATTTAACTCAAAATAAATGACAGACCTAAAGTAAAACCTAAAACTATAAAACTCCTAGATCTGTGTTAATATGGTAGCCACTAGACACATGTGGCTAGTGAACCTTTGAAATGTGTCTCAAGTGAGTTAAGATGTGCTGTGTTAAATACACACCAGAGTTGAACAAGTACAAAAATAAAAATGTAAAGAAACTCATTAATAATTTTTCAATTGAATACATGTTCAAATGACATTCTGAAGAGATTGGCTTAAATAAAACAGTATTTAAATGAATTTCACCTGTTTATTTTTTAATGTGGATACTAAAAATTTTAAATTACATATATGACTCTCATTCTATTTCTAGTGCTGTTCTATAAGAGATGACAGGAAAAAAAATCTTTGTGACTTTTAGATACAACAGCAAATGTACAATCCAAAACATTGATAAAATGGACTGAAATTAAGAACTGTTCTTTGAAAGACACTGTTAACATAATGAAAAAACAAGGCACACACTAGGAGAAAATATCTACAAAACACATCTAACAGAGGACTAATAACCAGAATACAAGAATTTTCAAAACTCAATTTAAATAAACTATACATAGCAAAAGATTTTAACATAAACTTTACCAAAGAACATACACAGATGAGACTACATACATGAAACAATGCTCAACATCATTAGTCACTAGAGAAATGCAAAACAAGCACAGAGATACCACTTCCATACATCAAAACGGCTAAAATCCAAAATACTGAAAATATCAAGAGATAGTAAGGATGCAGAAGACCTGGAACTCTCATACATTGCTGGTGAGGATGCAAAATGATGTAGCTACTTTGAAAAACATGTTAGCAGTTTCTTAGAGAGTAATGACACAGCAATCCCCTCTAAGTACTTATCTAAAGGAAATGAAAACTTACGTTCAGATGAAAATTATACATGAATGTTTATAAGAGCTTTATTCATCATCACTGAAAACCTAAGACACTCCAAATGTCCTCCAACTGTACAGTCACAATAGAAAATTTATCAGCAATAAAAATGAACAAACTACTGATAACAAAACAATGCGAGAAATCTCAAATGCATTATGTTAAGTATATGCCAGATTCAAAAGACTACATACTGTATAATTCCATTTATATGACATTCTAGAAAAAGCAAAGTTATAAAAACAGGAAACATATTAATGATTACCAGGGGTTTGGAGTGCGAATAGGGGGAATTTTGAGGGGTTAAAGGGACAGTTTGAATTTTGAATACCATAAAAAAGGAACAAAGGCAAACAAGCAAAACAAGCAAGACAACATTAAAAAATGAATCTTCATTTTAAGCTAAATGAAGACAGAGATAATCCAAAGGCTCCAATATACTAATAAAAGCTGCTAAGAACAGTTAAGATAGGGCAGAAATTGCACAGGAGAATGTGGAGATAAAAACTACAGGGAGTACAGAGCAAGTCAAACAGCAGCAAATACCGGCAAATCTAAGCAAACATACACTTCCTCAATGACATCATCTATCCCCCCAAAAAAGGTGGAAGGCGTAATTCCAAGAGCCCATGCCTCCACAGAAACATCAAAAAATTAAGCAAACGCTGTCAGACTCAAATTTGTCAGAACTCTGGAAAACAGTCAAAGGTTTACATCAACCAAGAAATGCTGAAATAAGAAAAGGTGACTTAAAAACAATGTGAAAGCTTTGCCTTATTTTCATTTCCCCTTCCCCACTCTTGGTTCAATGAGAGTCATTTTTTATTTTTTTAATATTTAATGGGGTGACACTGGTTAGTAACATTATATAAGTTTCAAGTATAGTACAATTCTATAATACATCTGTATATTGCATCAGTGGCAATCTTGAATACATTAGCCCACATTCCAACAGTTGGACACTGGTCCCTGTTCTAAGAGAGCAAAGTAGCCTGTGTTCTAAAAGAATTTGTGTTTGTCTGTTGTCACCAGTGTAGGGCTACCTGAAGGACTGACTCAAGGCACTCTCCTTTGTTTCATCAACTTGGAACTCTCTTAGGGCAGAAAAGCAGCTACACACAGGGCACCCTTCAAAAACATTTTAAGGCAAATGAAAAACTCACTGCCAGCTGGGACAAAATATTACAGTTGAGGCAAACAATAGACATGCCAAAAACCTGGAGAAAAGCTGCGAAGAGAGTTTCTTTGGACAATTAGGGCATTGAAAAAGTACTTTCGGACTTTGGAAAGCTATGCACATGTCCAAGGCAGCACACCTACTCAGAGAACACCTGATAAAACTACTGGCTCATTTCTAGACTCAACACAAGCTAGAAGTGAAGGCGAAGACAGTGTTGTAAACAGCCTGGCCCCCAACACAGAGCCAGTCTGCAAAAACTGGAAAAAGATTTTCTTTCTTCTCTTCATTCTTCTCTTTTCTTTCTATTTTCTTTTTCACTCCAGGTGTTCAAGGGAATCTCTCACATAACACTAGCAAATCACAGCTAAAGAAAAAGAGATTTCAGAGGCTGTTGTGTGTTGAATGTTCGTGTCCTCCCTCCAAAATTCATATGTTGAAGTCCTAAGCCCCAATATGATGATACTTTAAAATGGAGCTGTTGGGAGGTAATTAGGTTTAGATGAGCTCATGAAAGGATCCTCATGATGGGATTAGTGCCCGTTATAAGAAAAGACACCAGAGACATTGCATATTCTCTCTCCTCCCCCGCCATCTTTCTCTTTCCCTCTCTTTCTCTCTCTCTGCCTCTCTCTCTCTCTGCCTGCCATGTGAGAATAAAGCAAGAAAATGGCCATCTGCAAGTCAGGAATAGAGTTCTCATCAGAAACCAACCATACTAGGACCCTGACCTCAGGCTTCCAGCCTTCAGAACTGTGAGAAAATAAATTTCTGCTCTAAGATATTTTGTTATGGTAACCCAAGAAGACTAAGACACAAACCACTCATTACAAAAATAATTACAAAAGTAGTTTAGAAAAGTTACTAAGCAGAAAACTACAACTCGCAGAAAGCAACAAAAAAACCACGAGGATGGGGAATAATCTAATTTCCAGTTGTATCATGTTATAATATTTACAATGTCCGCTTTTCCAAAAAAAAAAAAAAAAACTTGCGAAGCATGCTGAGAAAGAAGAAAAATGGCCCGTTCAAAGGAGAAATTAACAGAAACTGTAAGGGAAAACAGACAACAGACTTACCAGACAAAGACTTTCAACCATTATTTTAAATACGCTCAAAGAGCTCAAAGAAACATAAACAAAGAGCTAATGGAACCAGGAGGACAATGAAGAATTTCAATAAATAGAGAATTTCAATAAAGAGAAAAATAATATTTTTTTAAAAACCAAAAAGAAATTCTGGAACTAAAAAGTACAATAACTTAAATGAAAAATTAACTACAAGGTTTCAGTAGCAACAATGGGCAGGCAGAAAAGGAAATCAGAGAACTTGAAGATAGGTCAACTAAAAGTATCCAGTCTGAGAAGCACAAAGAAAAATGAAGAAAAATGAACAGAGCCTAAGAAATATGTAGGACCCCACCAAGTGTACCAACATATGCATAACAGAGAGTCCCAGAGGGAGAAGGGGCAGAAAGAATATTTGAAGAAAAAATGAGTGACAACTTTCCAAATTTGACAAAAGTTAAGAAACTACATATTCAAGAAATTCAAAAGGTTCTAAGAAGAATAAATGCAAAGACATCCAAACCAAAACACATAATCAACCTATCAAAATCCAAAGAGAATTATGAAAGTAGCAAGAGAAAAGTATTTCATGTGTACAAGTGATCCTCAATAAGATTAACACCTAATTTCTCATCAGAAACTATGAAAGCCAAAAGGCAGTGGGATTGCATATTTAACGTGCTAAAAGAAAGAACAAAAACAAAAAACTGTAAGTCACACACAAAAAAATTGTCCTTCAAAACAGGAGGAGAAATTAAAAATAAACATTCCAAGGTAAACAAAAGCTGAAGGAGGTTGTCACTATTAGACCTAGGCTACAAGAAATGCTAAAGGGAGTCTATCGAGGAAAATAACACTAGACATTAACTGGAAGCCACAGGAAGAAATTAAGAACACTTGTAAAGATAAGTACAAAAGCTGGTATTATTGTACTTTGGGTTTGTAACTTCACTTTTTTTCTGTACGATTTAACAGACAAATGCATAAAACAATAATTATAAATTGATGTTAATGGGCACATAATGTATAAAGATGCAAGTTGTGATAACAACATAAAGGGGGAGAGATGGAGCTGTATAGGAACATAGTTTTGTGTACTACTGAAGCTAACTAGTATTAATTCAAAATACAGTAAAACGTTGGATTGTAAGTAACACAGTTTGTGAGTGTTCCGCAAGACGAGCAAACATTTCTAATACATTTTAACTTTGGTAAACGAGCGATGTTTTGCAATACGAGTAGTTTGTTTCCGGAACAAATTATGCTCACAAACCAAGTACATTTTAACGTGGTAAACAAGTGATGTCTTGCAATACGAGTAGTTTGTTTCTGGAACGAATTATGCTCGCAAAACCAAGGTATTACTGTAAATTGTGACAAATTGAAGAAGTTATTTGTAATCCTTATAGTAACCACTAAGAACTAAAAAATATACAGAAAAG